AAAGCTTTACAAACATAAATAAAGATATTATCTTCCTCGGGGATATCAATGTAAACATACTAAACCCTACTAGCCCAGTCACGATAAAGCTTACGAACTTCCTGAAAGAACACAATCTAGAGGCTAGGAAAATACCATTTACAAAAATTACTCCAACTTCAATTACCAGCATTGACATCTGCCTAACAAACCTAGGCCTCCCAAATTTTAAAATAAATTCCCTAAAAACCCCCACTGTCAGACCACCCAGTGTCTGCTGCAAAATTAAAACACACCAATCCCAAGTAAACAAACCTTTTAAAAACAATCATCAGTGCTATAGCTACACATAAACTAAATCAGCTGAAAAAATAGAGCCTAACTGACCAACAGTGGGATGAAATCTACAAAACTCCACTGGTTGATGATAAATATAATAGTTTTATAAAAATCCTAATAGATGAAATAAATGAACACTTCCCCAAAACCAGCTCAAACACCAATAGAAAATCCAACCATATTTTTTGGGATGAAAAACTGATCAAGCTCCGAAACCTGGCCAATCTAGCCCATGACAAATATATACTGAGCAATACTAAAAGGATAAGAAAACATACTTAAACTGAAAGAAAATGTACTACACCAGCATTAAAAAAAAATAATCGGAACAAATCATGAAAACAATAAATGAGACACCAAAATATAAACAAAACAATCTGGAAGACTGTCAACAAGGAACAAAAAAAAAAAAAACAGAAAAATAAAAATCTAACTCTACATCTCAATGGAAATGAAATCAAAAACCCAATAGACATAGCCAACGATTTCAACTCCATCTTCATAAATACCGTAAAAACCCAGGACGCAAACAAATAGAACAAAACCATAACAATCAAATTTCTATAAATGGACTTACATGACTGGCCCATTTTCAACCCATATCAAAGACATAACTGGGAAAAATATTCAAGCAACTCCCACTAAAAAAACTCTTTAGGCCTAGAAAATACAGAAAAAATCAATAAATCTTGTAAAAACTAACTGATTTACCCCTCCTAAACATCATAAATGCCTCCATTACTCAATCAACAGTTCCTAGTGCAATGAAAAGAGCCCTAGTAGACAGCCTTCCAGAAAACTACCGCCCAATTTAAACCTGTCAGTTTTATCAAAATATCTTGAAAAAATTATAAATGCCCAATTACGAGGGTCGTCTCAAAAGTAAGTTACACATTTGTTTTAAATCACAGCGTCGAGCGCTAGAAAGCTGGGAGTCGCGGGGAATTTTCGTCTGGATGTAGTGGCAACACTGCATCCGTCGCGGCCGCCTACGGCACGCGCCCCTCCAGTATCGCTCCGGCCATCATGGAGACACCACTTGTTCCCACCGCCGATTGTGAAATCCGTGCAGTAATTAGATTTTTGACTGCAAAGAATAAAAATGCAAGTGAAATTCATCGAGAATTGTGCAGTGTTTATGGTGAAAATGTGATGTCTAGGCCAATGGTTTCCCGCTGGCGTCAATCGTTTATTGATGGACGAAAATCGTTACATGATGAACAACGAAGTGGCCGTCCGTCCACTTCCCGCGTTTTGACTGTTGTTGAAGATGTCCGCAAGGTCATTGACACCGACCGGCGCTTGACATTGGATGAAATCATCACACAGCTTCCTCCAAATGTTGAAATTAGTCGTGCGTCGCTTCACAGAATCATTTCGGACGATCTCACTTTGTCAAAAGTCTGTGCAAGATGGGTGCCACGCCTTCTTTCAGAAAGGCATAAGGAGCAGAGGGTTGATGATGCTCTCCAGTTCCAACAATTTTTTGATGATGAGGGAAATGGCCTATTCAACAGGATAGTAACCGGGGACGAGACTTGGGTGCACATTTGGACGCCCGAAAGCAAGCGGCAGAGCATGGTGTGGAAGGGAAAGGACGAGCCTACTCCAAAAAAGGCAAAAGTCGCCGAATCAGCTGGCAAGGTCATGGCAACGATCTTTTGGGACTCTAAGGGAGTATTGTTGATTGTTTACCTGCCAAGGGGGGAAACAATTACAGCTGAACGTTATTGTGAAGTGCTACGTAAGCTGAGAAGGGCGATACAGAACAAAAGGAGGGGGAAGTTGACCAAAACAGTGTTTTTGTTTCACGACAATGCTCGCCCACACACCGCCCGTCAAACACAAGACCTTTTGGAATCCTTCCGATGGGATGTTTTCGGCCATCCACCTTACTCTCCTGACTTGGCGCCGAGTGATTTTCATCTCTTCCCGGAGTTGAAGCGGCATTTAGGCGGGAAGCGCTTCGAAAACGAAGACGAACTGAAACGGGAGGTGGAACAATGGCTAACTAAAATGGCGGCAGAGTGGTATGATGCTGGACTAAAAAAGATGTTGCCACGTTATCAAAAATGCCTTGAAAAAGATGGCGACTACGTAGAAAAATAGTCTATGTATATGTCTTTTAAAATATATGATAGCCTCTAAAATATTTTTATTAGATATTTTACACCTCTGTTAGCCTCCCCCCTAGACAAGGCCCCAGAACCACTACTATTGGCTACTTGGCCTAAACATGGCCTCACTTCTTTGAAAACAAAATAACAAACCATCAAAAACCCAGTTTCGCTCAATTTTTATATACTCCCAAAATTTACTATTACATTTTATGAAATAACGATCAGCTGTGTTTGATTAGTTCTCACTTCTGTCACTGATATGTTTACATTAAATACTGTTTACAAATACCACAACCATTTCCGATCATGTTTTGTAAGCACATCCAAACCAAGTGAGATTAAAAACGTTTTGTTTTACTTAACCGGTTTAATTAATCGCACGTGCAACGATTGTTCTTGAGTTTTGATAACCGGGGAAAAGACCGTGAATTGAGTGTTGTATAGTGCTGGGAAACTTAATTTTTTTTAAATTATCATCACCAATAGCTTACAAAAAAGGTTTCCACTCATTGACAGCTCTTCAAGGACAGTTGTGCAAAGTGCAAGAAGAAAAAATCACAACTAATTTTAAAATTAAAGAATATTTAACACAAACGTCAAGAGAAAGATAAAATAAAAAAAAACCATAATCAATTATATATATGACAAAATTTCATGACCAAAGTATTATCTAAAGTATTAAAGTATTAAAGGTACCAAAGTACCAAAGTATTAAAGGTCGAAACATGTAGAGTTTAAAAAAATAAAAAATAATTTCAGGGTACTGAGTTAGTATGCTTTCTTTAATATATAGTACTTGGGGACCGAGCTTTGCTCGGGGCGATATGCTGGACGCTCTGGAGAACAACTTCCACGTCCCGGCATACCTCATGCGCATTATAGAGGATTACCTCCGGTTCCGCCTCCTCATGTATGATACTACAGAAGGCCCGCGGACGATGAGTGTCACTTCTGGTGCTGCCCAAGGTTCCATACTCGGCCCGGACCTCTGGAACGTTGCCTACGACAGCCTCCTTAGGTCTGAAATGCCTGAAGAAACCGTTATAGTTGGGTACGCAGATGACATTGCAGCTTTAATAGCTGCTCGTAGTGTTGAGCTGGCCCAGCTAAAATTAAACCAAGTCATGCGAACTATAAACGCATGGATGGCAGATCACGGTCTCTCACTCGCGCTGAACAAAACTGAGATCGTGATTCTGACCAAAAAGCGGATTGACACTATTGTGCCGTTGAGGGTGGGGGACGTCGAAGTCCAGTCCGTTCGTGCCGCCAAGTATCTTGGTGTCATGGTGGACTCTAAGCTTAGCTGGCGGGACCAGATATTCCGAACGGCGGACAAGGCCGCTAAGGTGATCTCTTCTCTTAGCCGGTTAATGGCCAATGTCGGAGGTCCTCGTTCCAGTCGCAGAAGGCTGTTGATGTCTACAGTTCAGTCTGTGCTCCTGTATGGTGCGGAGGTGTGGGCAGACGCGCTCAATAAGGAGGTGTATAGGATGCGGCTTGCCAGAGTGCAGCGTCAGGCAGCACTCAGGGTAGCATCCGCCTACCGAACAGTGTCTGAACCTGCCATCTTGGTGGTTGCTGGAGTAATCCCCGTCAAACTTTTGGCGGCGGAGAGGAAAGCAATTTATCAGCGGCGTGGAGAGGACCATGCAAAAATGGAGGAGCGCAACCGCACCTACCAGCTCTGGCAGGAGAGCTGGGAACAGGAGTCGCGGGGACGCTGGACCAGGAGACTGATTCAGCAAGTCCAACCATGGGTTGACCGACGGTATGGTGAGGTGGACTATTACCTTACCCAGTTTCTGACAGGTCACGGGTTTTTTCGGTCGTACCTGTTCAGGATGGGCAAAGCCGTGTCACCCGATTGCATCTACTACTGCCCAGGCACTCCCGACGACGCGGAGCACACCTTCTTCCGCTGCCAGCGTTGGGAAGGTTCCCGCCTGGAGGCTGAACAACATGTAGGGCAGTTGTTGGTCGACACGGTCATTCCGATGATGACGGAGGGTGAGGACAATTGGACCTGTATGTCACATTTCGTCCAGGATATTCTCCGCACAAAGAAGCTAGAGCTTGACCGAGATGCAGCCTAGGTCATAAAGAAATTGAATGCCAGAAACGGCGCGAGCCCTGAGGGCTTAGGTCACACGTTGACCTGACCTGAAGTAATGTGACAAACAATCCCGGGTCTGTGTCCAACAGAGTAGAGGGGGTTTTTTAGTGAGTAGTCTGACAAGCTCAGGAGTCTCACACTACAGGCTGGCTACCTGTGTGCGTAAAAGCATTTTTTACCTCCTCTCCCTTAAAAAAAAAAAAAAAAAAAAAAACTATAATAAGTTTATTCATTAGAGAAGCACGACAAATTTGGATACCAATAGTGTGAATTTATAGGAGTTTCAAAATAAAAATAGCTCCATGGTAATCTGTAGTATTTTGGCTATATTCCCCAAAATGTAAGGTCAATAGGTCCAGTAGTTTTCTTGTGATGTATGTGTGTTTTCTTGATTTTATATCCTTGAAATGATAAAAATATGTTTAACAAAATATAATCTTTTTCAGAACTTACAATAGATTATCCAGACATAAGAAAGAAGAGCCTCAGTGTACTGCAAGATAAAAAAATTGAGATAATATCGTACACAATGCTTTCAAAGCAACAAATCAAACGAGGAAATGTTGCTATTACATTGGGAAAAACTGATGTAAGTATGTGATTCACTGTTTAGATCTAGACTTTAAATTGAAATCATCACTTACATCTTAAGACGTAATCTTGATAAAAAATATACAAATCTGATTATTTTTAAAAGAATTATACGGTATGATGGAACTTAAAGGACAAGAGAAAACATATAAAACCATAAGTAGCCTATGCAAAATATGTAATGCATAGGGATACGAGATCTGAACAAGACTTGATTTTAAGTTTTATATGAGGTTGAAATCCACTTATGGATTTAAAAAGGTTAAAAAAAAATAAAAACTTTTGCGGGGTGATTACCGCAGAAAGGGATAATCTTCCTTTTGTCCCTACTCCCGCAAAATATCAGTTCAATTTCAATTGGTCCAGTCAAGTAGTTTTCAGGTGATTGTCCATGTGACAGACTCACAAACATTCAAACATTAATATTTGATAACTAGCCTGTACCCGCAGCTTCGCCTGTGATGGTTTAACCATAAATATTATACAGCATAAGAAATAAACAGAGCATTACAGTCATTGCAATAACTATCTGTAGTGGCTTCGCCAACGATCACAAAAATAAGATAATATTATTATTATTCAATGTGTCACGCACAGTTAAAAAAAACCATGTTACGATTAAAAATTTGACATCGATTAAATAACAATTAAAAACTAAGTGAAAACCATTGATTTGTTTAATCTCAGACCAAAATATTTTACAAAATAAAATCATGAAACTGAAATACCCCGAATCTTCAGCTTCTCCAAGACAGTTTAAGCCTAGTTCTTTCATAGCTGTATCGGCTCTTCTTACGGTACGTCCAGAGTGCACGCCGATTCAGATTCAGATTTTTGGCGCTTGGTTAATCTGAGTCAGATATTTTGTTGGTGGCCACAGTGGAAGCAGAAAAAACACCGCCGGTACTGACTCGGTTAGCAAAGAAACAAGTCAGTTGTTGTTATGGAATTGGCAGATGAGGCATTAACGTGTAAAATTATAGGTTCTGAAACTGTTGTGAAGTTACAGCCAGTGAAAATTTGTGTTTTTGATGTTGTATATCTCTTTTCCTATAGCTAGAAATGAGAGATTCCCTCTATATTGCGTTGAATGGAGCCCGAAACCTCCGAAACTTATTATTAAAATTGGACATTGTATTGTAAGAAACTTGTACCTACACAAAGAAAACAATTATCACGAAGAGCGTTTTATGGTAACCCTAAATTAAAGGATAAAAAAATTAAATACTTTACCATAAAAACCAAATTTATTTAACTAAATAGTATGCGTACGAGCAAAATCTGAATCTGAAACCAGAATGAAGAATTCATTCCGGTAAGCAGGTGCCTGCGCGCTTGCTCAGAAACCTGCAGCACATGAAATGGTTGATACTGTCACCCCAGTTTTCAGGATTCTCTACAAAGAAAATTTGTTTTATTAGGAGGATGTCTCAAATCAAAGAAATAAAATGACACAACTTAAATTACTTAACACATGTTATAAGTAAGGCAACGGTTTCTTTCAATTCTCAATGCTGGAAATTTGGCATACCTTGATGCACACTTTGGTGATCTGGTCATGTGATTTATGTTCCTGACCAAATCGTTCACGTTGGAAACGATAACTGGACACATTATTTAAAACAGAGGAGACAATTTACTGCAATTCACAGGCCCTAAGAGCCAGCTTTGATGATTGTTTGATTAATTAAAGCATTTAACACAGAAATATATTAATCGTTCAACATATGGAATATTAATATATAAGTCAACTGGACACAACGTGAATTAACATTTTGAATGAATGATGAATAATAAATGACGGAATAAATGAGATAGGGAATTTGACTACATGGTCTGGAATTACATATTAATTAATTATTACTATTGGAAGCCAGGCACAAGACAGGGACTTCTTTTGGTCACTTCACGCACCTGCTCCTGCGCATGCGCGAGCGGTCCTGGACTTGAGATAGCTAACTAGGCAGGACATTTTAATAATAAATTAGTTTATAACAATTGTTTAAACAACTCTAATATGTATCTAGATTACTCGAATTTAAACATAGCGACCTTGGCGTTATGGCACCGGGTTCTCTAGTCCATTTGAATGCATGTGCCATTCCTGCAGCCAAAAATATCTAGTTTGGCGAACAATTGAAGGCAAAGATGTGACTAAAGTTGTTACTAGCTTAAGATCATCATGTAGTGAAGATTATGATGGCTTATCAAATAGAATTCTAAAGGAAATATGTCAAGTAATAGTGACACCGTTGACTTTACTGTTTAATATGATCTTGGATCAGGGTATATATCCGCAAGCACTAAAAGTAACAAAAGTGATACCAGTTTATAAAAAGGGTGAAAAGTTGAGCCCATCTAGTTCTCGACCAATATCTCTACTTCCTATAAAGTAAAGTTTTTGAATCCTGTATTAAGGCTCAACTTGATAAATTTGTTGTGACTGTTAAAAAAATTTTATTTAACATATGTGTGTTTACAATATTTGTAAACATCTCAGTTCAATGTTTTTCATACCAAATAAAGGTTCATAATCAATTTCTTTCTGTTTAATATCTTCATCTTTTTACAGTGACTAATATTTTGTTTTGTGAGGAACAGTATGGTTTCATGCAAGGTAAAAATACTGTAAAAGCAGTAGAGAATGTGATTGAATCAGTGTTAGAAAACGTAGAAAATAAGCTGTTATCATCTGCCTTACTCATTGATCTTACATTGCCTTTGATTGTATGAATCATGAGCTACTGCTAGACAAACAGTTTCACTATGGTATCAGAGGTAAATAACTTAATTTATTTAAATCATACTTGAGTAGTATTGAACAAATGGTGGTACAGAGCAGTGATAAGTCTGACTTTAGAACGATATTAATGGGTGTGCCTCAGGAATCAGTCCTTTGACCTCTTTTATTTATTATTGCTATGAACGATTTTGCGCCAAATATTCCTTTTACAACAGTGTTATATGCAGATGATACTACACTTCTTAACAGTAAAAAACACCTAGACAATCTAATAAGAACTGAGAACCAAGCCTTAGAAGTAGCAATGGAATTGTTTCATTCTAATCTTTTAATTGTTAATGGGAAAAAGACTGAAAAAATTATCTTTTCTTTGGACTTTTCTATTTATAAAGATGTAAAACCTGTTAAGTTATTAGGTATTTATCTTGATAGTTGGTTAAGTTGGGAAACTGGGGTGCACAGAAGGAGCCTCCCCGAAGATTGTGACCATTAGACGCTATGAACGACATCACAATCGGGCGCACCCCGGGCAATAAGAATAAGAAGAATAAGAATCATTTATTCAATTGATCTTTTTACAAAGAAATAGGACACGTCATATACATTACAAAATAATCATCCAAATACAATCAAGTTTCTGATACATCCAAATAATATAAAAAGTACAATTAATTAGGTATAATAGCTTATTTTAATTAAAATTTACATCAAAATTACACTTTATAAAGTCACTTATGCTGTAGAAAGGATTTTGAATTAGCCAATTATAAATTCTATTTTTGAAAATATTGAAATCAACAAATTTTGCACTATCAGGTAGTTTATTAAAAAAGCAAATTGAGTTAATTTTGAAAGAGTCACCCGTTTTAGCCAGTCTATGAGGTTTCATGCTGAGCTTGCCTCCACCCCTAGTATTGTACTCATGAGTGTCAGATCTAAGGGGGAAAGAATGCAAGTTTGGTTTGGTGTAGAGTAAAACTTGAAAAATGTACAAATTAATTACTGTTGGAATTTTTTATTGTATGAAAAGAGGTTTACAATGAGATAGGGATCTTGAATTAGCAATATTACGAACTGCCTTTTTTTGAATCGTCAAAATATCAGCTACATGAAGGGAATGTCCCCAAACTAGAATGCCATAGAGTATGTGGGACTGAAACAGACCAAAGTACGATAGTCTCAAATATTCTTGGTTAACAAATTTTTTTAATTTCCATAATAAGCAATCTACTCTTGATAACTTTTTGCAAACCGCCTCAATATGATTTGACCAACTTAATTTTGAATCAATGTGAAATCCTAAAAGCTTGACAGAATCTAGACTAATTTCCTGCTTGAGACTCAATGTCAAATATTGTGTCTTTTCAAGATTAGAATGTAGCTCATTTGAAGAAAACCAAGCAAGAGCCTGTTCCTCAGCTTCTGCAGTGACCTGTTTCAGGTACTCTAAGTTTTTGTGACTGGCTAGTAAAGTGGTGTCATCAGCATAAATTATTGAATGGATATTGAGATTTTGAGACAAGTCGTTTATGTATACTAAGAAAAAGAAAGGGCCTAAAACAGAACCCTGAGGGACACCGGTCTCTACAGGTTTCATAGCAGAACATTTATTTTTAACTGATACATACTGTTTTCTGTCATACAAATATGATTGAATAATTTTTATTGTGCCATCTTCAATGCCATAATATGATAATTTACGTAGTAATACATCAAAAGGAACACTATCAAAAGCTTTACTGAGATCACACAAAACTAGCGAAATCGACTCCTTATTTTCAAATGCATTTAGTGATAAATCTGTTAAGTTAAGTACTGCCGAGGTGGTAGACTTACCAGGACGGAAACCATGCTGGCATTCAGAAAATAAATGTTGGGACTCGAAAAAATAACTAAGTTGATTGTACATTAGAGATTCAAATATTTTAGAGAATATCGGAATAATAGAGATAGGTCTGTAATTTTGATGTAAATTTTTATCTCCTTTTTTAAAAACTGGAATCACTTTAGATATTTTGAGCAATGAGGAAAAGTATCCTTCTGACATACATTTGTTAAAAATAAAAGCAAGTGGCTCACTTATTATATGGATGGTTTGTTTCAGTATTGTGTTAGACAGCCAATAATAATCCATTGAATTAGAGTTGGAGAATTTAGATACTATGTTACACTCTGGCCTCAGGTCGCTCAGTCTGAGGTGGGTCGATGTAAATGAACAGAGTGTTTATCCTTAATAAATCAAAATTCTTCATGAA